ATAATTGGGGTTCTATATGACTGAATCATATTTTAATATTGGTCCCACCAAAATCGTAAAAAGTTATTTAGTTACAAAAGGGCAATTAGGACTTTTAATTTTATAAACTTTTTTATGTTTGTCGAACGAAGGCGCACATACTCAACTTCCAGATGGCAGTACACAATGTAAGTCGTTTAAATAAATGGATTAAATTTCCCCACACTTTTATATTTAATCTAACATGAGACCTATGTTTGTCATACGAAGGATATTCCTCTCACCTTTCCGAGTGTATAAACAAAGTTCAGAAGGTTAATGATACCTACTCTTAAAAAATCTTCAAGGCAATGGTATAAAAGCACTGCGAGCTGGGCAGTGGTTGCTTATGAAGCAGCCCACCCTTGTACCATGAGTCTCCATAAGACAGTATCCGGTTTTTACGTCGCTTGTTGTACTTGGAGCTCCTGCTTGGAAACTGAGTTCTGTTCCCTTTGAGCAATGGCCAAATTTGGCAGGTCACGTTGAGCACTGTTGCACTCTGCCATCTGTTGTAGGCCTTTCTGATGAAGGTTAGTTTTAGTAGATAATTGGCCGTCGTATGCCCACACCATGTGCAGGATGTATGTTCCCTTTATGGCCAGCTCGTCCGCCACGCAATTCCTGGGATGTCCCTATGATCAGGTACCCTAACCATGGACGTTTCACCCACAGTTGAGAAAATCCAAAAATCCAGGTTCGAAAAAAAATACAAAATGTCAAATATTTCCAACTTAATTGTACTCAAAAGAATCTAGCGATTTATTTTTTTACTTCTGTCGCCTAAATAGCATGAAAATTATGGATAAGTTATTGCGAAATAAGCTAACTCCAGAATTTTTAATTCTATTTCCATGAAAATTTTTATGCTGCGAGTGGCTGCTTTCGAAAGTAAATTTCAAAATTTGTCATACTCGTATACCTTTTCACATTGTACCAAACGGCATTATTGAGATAGATATTGGCATACACATGTAATCAGCTTTCATGGAATGATGAGACGAATCGATTAAGCCATTTCTGGCTGTCCGTCCCTCAGTCCGTCAGTGCACTTACTAATTTGAGTAAAGAAAAAATTTTGAAACATTTTGAACATTAATAAACGCCTTTATGTTGCATCAAAAGCAAAATTTACAGAGGTACTTGGTTACCTGACTATTTAAAAATATTTACTTGTCTTAAAATGATTCGTAAACAAACTACTTGTAAAGGTCTAACTGGAAGATATATAAGTATACAAAAGTATTGAGAAATTGGAATTTCCATCACACCTCAAATCTGTGTATTCATATCTGAGTACCTGCATGTACATACACGTATGTGAGGATGTAGCATATATTTTTATCTCTCTCTCCATCACTTTAGGTTTCACTAGAGAATAGCCAAAATCAAACAGCGAAAAATATTTTGAAAACTTTTACTTATGACCTGTGAGAATTCCGCCATTATTGGAATGAGCCAACTGCCAAATTATTAGAGTCCAAAAACGTAAATTGCTGATTTGAGATGCTCACAAGCCAGCAAGGGATTTCTTACTTGTTCGTACTAACAAAATAAGATTGAATTACTACAAAATGGGTACCAAAAAAGCAGAGCTATCTCTCGCCAACATTTACACTGATCGCATCAGAACGGAGAGCTGAGTTTAATCAGCCATGTCCTATATATTCACCTATATGTTTGAACGCAAACTAGTCCTTCTGGCTTTGAAATATTTCAACCAAATTTAGTATGCAGAGGCAGAAAGTCTTGGGTGCGAATGCTATTTAAAAAATAAAAATGTCGACCCCTCCCAGTGTGTTTCCGACATAAAATAAGAGCTCTTTATAAAAATCCATCCTTCCATCGGAGCTCAGCCAAAAGTCACCTTGCTTCACAGCCGAAGTCACTGATCGTAGTGACCCGAAATTTGGAGGAGGGATAAAAATTGGATTTATGGTTAGATTCCCATGCTGTGTTCTAGAGAGGTAGTTTTTTGTAGCACTACAAAGTTAAGCATGTGATGAATGAATCGCCTAAATTTGTTGGATGACAATTTTTTTATAACAAACGTTTATAGTAATCGCATAAAATTATGACCGATATAGGGCACTGCTATGTTGATATTGTAATTTAGTTGCCTTTTTTAGGAAATCGTGATGTTTATTTTTCCATTTCTATAATTTTCTGATTTAATACAAATCTATATCAGAAACTTTACAAATACGCAGATTTGACAGCATGAGGAATCCTTTTCATGTTCGCGGAATGGGGGATAGTTTAACTAATCGCCCCTCGACAGGGAATGTCAAGACCTTTGAGCGTATTTCAGTCATGAAATAAATTCTCCTCATAAAAAACAAAAACAAAAAAGGTTTAACGATTACAAAGCGCCAATTAAAATAAAAAAGTAATCAGTCCTATACTGAATTGTAGGCAGGTTGATTCAAAATATCGAATACCACATCCGGATCGGGAAGGACCCCTGCGAGCCTTTCGATACCAAACGAGGTTTCAGACAAGGCGACTCCTTATCGTGTGATTTCTTTAATTTGATGCTAGATAAAATAATACGAGCTGACGAGCTGAATAGAGAAGGTACAATCTTACATAAAAGAGTGTACGACTACTGGCGTACGCCGGTGATATTGACATTATTGGCCTCAACAATCGTGCCATTAGTTTTGCTTTCTCCAGGCTTGATAAAGAAGCGAAGTGAATAGGTCTGGTAGTGAACGAGGACAAGACGAAATATCTCCTATCATCAAACAAGCAGTCATCGCATTCACGACCCGGCACCCACGTCACTGTTGACAGTCATAACTTTGAAGTCGTTAATAACTTCGTCTATTTAGGAACAAGTATTAATACCAACAACAATGTCAGCCTGGAAATCCAACGCAGAATCAGTTTGGCCAACAGGTGCTACTTTGGACCGAGTGGGCATCGCAGACGATGCAACAATGAGCAACTCTCACGACAGCCGGTTCTACGCACTGGAGTTGACCCGGATTCTATCTGGCCAAGGGCTGTCACCCTTTCGGCGACCTAACCCCGTTTAGGGCAACAGGTAACATTATGCAACGATGAGCTGTACGAGTTATACGGCGACATTGATTTAGTTCAGCGAAACAAGAAGCAGTGGCTTGGCTGGCTAGGTCATGTTGTCCGGATGGATGCGAATACTCCAATTTTGAAAGATTTCGATGCAGTACCCGCGGGCGGAACCAGAGGAAGAGGAAGACCTCCACTCCGTTGGTAAGACCAAGTAGTGAAGGACCTGGCTGTGCTTGGTATTTCCAATTGGCGCCAAACAGCAAAAAGAAGAAATGAATGGCGCAATGTTTTCTACTCGCCTACAATTGCGTAAACGGTGTCTACGCCAGTTAAGTGAAGGAGTACGTAACACATTATTATACATGAAGGGTGTATGTTCATGAATGGCAACCCTAATTTCAAAAATAAACTGGATATTATATTTGGATCTATGCGAAACACTGTTGAAAGTGTAGCTGCCGCTGGTGGCCAAATTGCGAACAGGGAAAGCTAAGCCTTGGCTTATTGGAATAACTTTTTGAAAAGTGATTTCTTGCTTTTGGATATATGGTGTGGTTAGTTTCAATAATTCCTTAAAACATTCCTAATTCATTTGCAAAAGAGAAAATTTTGATTTTTAACCTCACGAAATTCGCCCGAAAATATCTCAGAAGCGGCAGATTTTCTTCTTTTTTGCAGCCACTCTCTGATCCAAATTTTTATTTTTTTTCACAGTTTTTTTTTCAATTGCTGTTTTGCTCTCATCAACTACGCTACAATGAAACGAACCGCGGCAACATTTTGTTTTTAATAAAACATTTTAAAAATTAAGCTCAGCTTGTTGACATACCGATGATGCAGCACAATGGAAATCGGTACAGGTTGTCGTGAGAGTGTCGTTTGTGGGATACTAGCTTTTGTCCTGTACCATCGATGACAATTTTTCAAACTTTTTGGATAAGTTCTTGCTTGGTCAACTAGATGATCCTGTTGACCTCTAAGCGTCTTCGAGGAATTTCCTTTCTTTTTTAAATATACTGTGCCACTTGTATATTACGGTTTTTCTCAGACATGTAAACCGTAAACCACTGAAATCTCGTCCCTTATGGTGGCAACTTGCTTGGTAAAAAACTTTATAACGTCACGATATTCGATGTTTGTTATAAATCTCTTTTGACTCCAGATTATGTTGCTAATTGATGCCGCCTTACTCTCTCAAGGACTGAATTTTACGGAGTTTTCACCAAATCTATATTGAATAAAATTAACCTGTAGCTGTTTAGTTTGGCGGTTAAATTTGAATCCGTTCATTTTTACTGTTAGTTTTTTCTACTTTTAAATATTTTAATAAAATTGGCAATTATTCAGCATTTTAAATATATTAATTGTATTAAAAGTTTATTATATTTCAACAATTATGAAATTCTACATGCTTCACAGCCGTCCAACAATAAAGATACCAATAATTTTTTCTAATAGTGCTCCCATTATCATAGAGTTTATTCGATTATATTCAAATGAAAAACAAGAAAGAGCTTTATTTCTCCTTCTAAACGCCTCTAATATATCATTTTGGGCATTGTCGGCGCTTCCGGAAGCTTAAGAATGCATAATCGTCACATTGCAATCGACAATGCTTTCTATGCCTTCAACATTCCTAACTGTTTAGTTGTTTTTGACACTTGCTAGTTTACTTTCTCTCCAACCTCACGCCAATATTGCGCTCTCCCGTCACCAATTTTTACTGAATTTTCGGCTCAACGAACACGGTTCAGTAAACTACAACGAACAGAACTTGTAGCTCAAAGACATATTGGCTGGTAGGAAAATATATATGTATCTTTATTGACTTTTTTATAATTAACCATTGCATTTACTTGTATTTGCAAATTTTATTGTTTTGCTTATATTTTTTTTATTATAAATTTCATATTCTAACGTCATTTGTATTTTGACTCTCTTTCCAGTGATACATCGATTTCGACGCGTGTTGACATGCTTACGCCGGCCATCGAAATATACAAGCCACCGCTCTGACATAAGGATGACACTGTGGAGAGCAATTTGGGTTATCCATCGACGAGTAGCGACATATAGCATAGACTTATCACGACAGCGGAGATCACCGCTACTTCAGCTACGGATAATCTCTTTGCGCTTCCATCATAGTGTCAATCAACTAATCAGTCGACTATTAAGAAAAAATATTAACAAAAACAACCAAATCATCCCGAAAATTTCAAATTCACTTGCATTAAGAGAAATACAAATGTAATAACATACATAAGTGTTAAAAAGGGCAGTAAAGGAATTTACGTATACGTCTGTACGTATGTTATACATATAATATTATATAATCCATACGAGTATATGTTTGAATTGGAATGTGGTTCAAATGAAATTTATGTTGGGAAAGTGATTGAGATGAAACAAATGGAGAATTATTCATGTGATGCGAGGCGAATAGTTTGATAAAAGTAATAGTTAATGCAGTTCAAGCCATAGAAACAAATATATAGATACACACATGCATACATGCATGCCCATATGTACACATACACATTCATATATAATATATTGACTCAGAACAAACACACCTACATACTTAGTATCGAAAAATGATTGAACCAACTGAATAATTCCTAAGATTGATTATATTTAGCTAATTAGCATAAAGCATAAGGATTTTTATGATAAAAATAGGCGTCAAAACAAAAATAAATTTATAGCTAAGAAAACTAAATGGTATTTAGTGTACCAGAATAAAGAGTAAATGGTGGAAATCAAATACCTAACTTAGATGTTATAAACAAATTGTTATTTTCATACGATTATTATGAAAATTAATTTCATTTCAATTATTATATAAACAAAATGAATTTGATAAAAACTCATACTAACACTTAAGTTCATATATACATACATATGTACGTGTATTTAGATATGTATGTACATATATGCATATATTTAGTTTAGATAAAACGATGATAAAAAAATGTCCCATGGAAATGGAGAAAGTTATACTAGTAATAGAACAAATTAATTATACTACATAATAATCATAATAATAATAATAATAATAGTAATAGAAAAAATAATAATAATAGTAATGTTAGTCATAATAATAATTGAGAATTAATTTTTGCAAGAACTAATTTTTGTACTGCTAAACAAAAGTACTTAGATTGAATTAACTAAGACTAAATTAATTACAAATTTAGCATTAACGGTATATGTATCTAGTTAAGCTGATACACACTTACATACACACATACGTATGGATGTCTGTACATACACGTACAGTATATAGTGTGTTATTGTATATACTCAAACAGCTAAATATAAAACCGAAAGCATGAGTAATTACTACAATTAAAGAAAACAGTCAAAATGCAATTTTATATAAAAACAAATATTAGTAAAAAAAAAATAAAATAAATATGGTTAAAACATGTGAAATTAGTGTAAAATATAAGAAATGCTAATGTGTCATTTTAAAAGTAAAAACTAGCAAAAGCATACGAGTATATATAATATACTATATAGTTATGTATACTTACTTATATTTAAATGTAAACACACGCACACAAACTGCTGTATAAGGCACCTTTGAATATATACATACACGTAAGCATGTACGTACGAGTATGTCATATGTACTTACGCAGATCCAAATGAGAATCCCGAAGGCGTTTACAGGCAGCTTTCCAACAACCCACCCCCAAAATAATGTTACTTATGTGCATAAACAAACAAGCATACTAGTATATATATGTAGGTATATAAGTAATGAAAACAATAGTAAATTTAGTGATAAAAAGACGCAAGTGCAATACACATATTCTATAGTTAAGTCGATCTGCATGCACATTCATATGCATTGATGGCGGGGCAGTTGAAATGTTGCATACTTTCAGGCGGACTCATTCGCACATTGTTGCTTGCACCCATTTAATAGGACATTACAAATGCATCACTACGCGCCAGTAATGCAACATTCAAACATACATATGTAGGATGTTTAATTGTATTTTGAACGCTTCAGCATTGCCAAGCCCATAGAAATGTCGCTAAAATTAACTCACCGACCAAACGCTAAAACAAAAACAAACCTACATACTAAGATTCAGAGTATCATCATTTAGTATCGATCATTCACACAGCTCTACTTTCATATATTCACACATGCCTAGCTTATTCGCAGTCAAATCAAGACAGCGCGTAGCCTCGTCCTATCATTTCATGTCATTAATGTCGTCATTGTCATTATCACGATGATAAATACACGTATATTCAATTTTTTGACTGTGATCATTTAAAGATATATGTACATATGGATGTATGCACATGAAAGAGGATTATATGAAATTGTTGATGTTGTTGTAAATATGTATGTCGGTGCAAGGCATAAGCAATATGATTTTAAATAATTTTTAAAACTCTTTACATACATACACGTATGTACATACAGCTGTGTGTAGTAGCATGTGTTGGTAACTGCTATAGCGATTTAAGCAGGAAGAACATAAACACGTCATAAAAATTTTAAATTTTGACTATTAAATTTTCATAAAATTCAGTAAAGTCGAGGCACATGTTTGCTGTATGTACATGCATATATGTAGCTTAAAACATAGGAAAATGCTTAAATGCAATATTACCTTTTTAGTATATTTTCATAAAAAAAAAGCTTCTTTCTGTTTTTATTTTTTTGCGCGTCAGCGGTAATTTAATTTTTTATACAATAATACTACAGATATATACATATAAATACGAGAGAATCGCGTTCGGCTCGGCAATTCTGTATGAAGTAAGCAAATCAAATAAATAATAAAAACAAACATATGAGAGTAAAAAGGCGGCTATAAAATCAGTAACAATAAAAAATACACAATAAATGGTAATCAAATTGTGTATGAGATTTTGATGGTTAGGAAATATTGAATGTGAAACTGTGAGAGCGCGCATAAAAAAATACATTTTTAAGTGTGTTTAAGTGTATGTGCTATGCATATGCATATGTATGTATTACATTGTATGTAGTTGACATAGAAAAAAAGTGTATCAGTGTGTGCAATAAATACATAGTATACATATATATTTATATAACATGTTAATGCATATATGTTGTTGTTATTTTAATGTGGAATTTGAAGTGTATACGTTGTTGTTGTTTTAAATGAAATACTTATAATATTATGTTAATCCATATATCATATTGTATATCGGAATATACTTAGCATAAGTATGTATGTTATCATACATATACAATACAATAAATACGTCTAACCGCTATTTGCTATACATACACGTATGTACATATATTACTATTTATTTATTTTTTCACAATTATTTATGTACTGAAATTCACGTATGTATATTGTTATACATATTTGTACTTTACTCGAACAAAAAATTAAATCATTCCAAAAAGGACACATTGTTAAGGGTAATCACCCTCCGGTACTATTTAATGGGATATTTTTTGGTTTTAGTTGGGTGATTTTCCAAAAAATACACATATGTTTATACATGTATATATATACTTATATATACATATGTACATATAATCGAAACGATGTTATCCTGCAATATTTGATTTGACCAAATTAAATAAAAATAAAACAATTTACCCTAACCGGCCCACATACATACACCCACCGAAATAGCTGCATAATTTTAAAGTAACTGTTAAATTTGAATATGTGCAAAGTGGTAAGGAAAAACTTCAACATGGAAATCAGCAATACATCGTTTGCGAAAATTAGTGAATATTTACATTTTTAAGATACTTTCCTTCCAATTGGAAGTAATCCAAGGAAGCATCCCGATGATAAATTTCATGTTAAACCAAAAATTTCAATGGATTCAGTTGAAACATTAATAAATGGTTTCGTTAAATCAGTTATTATTATTCATGTTTACCTGAAGCGAAATGCTGTCGTTAATGTTAAACAGTTAACAGATAATTTTCAAGATTAACAGCCTATTCCCACCGAGCAGTTAAATGCAGTTAAGGCCTCTGTTAAGTGAATGAAATGTCAAACATCACAAGTATTGAAATCATGAATTCAAGGGACCACATTCATTTTATTTGGCTATTGATGCAATCTTATGACTTGCAAGTGCAGATTATTACTGCGTGGACAAACGCTGCTGAAACGAAAGTGCTTTCTTGCATATTTCCATTTTCACTTTTGGTTTTTTCAAATTATTTATTTTGAGCAATCAGTCAATTTTTTTTTTTTTTTTTTTTTTTTTTTTGAGTGGATCGCTTGTAGATTTACATTTGTTTTTTGTTTGTTTCCTACTAAATTCAATTCAAAAAAGTAATTTTTGCAGAAAGTATTTCACCTTTCAAAATAAGAGCCTCTTCCGTCATTAAATCCGAAAATACACGAATCTGGCAAAAAATATACCGAAACTTCCGAAATGATTACATTATTAGTGACAACATCGACTGTTAACATAACATTTTCTGTTAAATTACCGAAAGTGAGTTAACTCAACAGCAACAACAGCAAACACATGGGAATTCCCGTGCAAATAGGCTATACCAATTTCTTTTCGTTTCGATAACATGGCCCCGTAACGAAAAAAGAAATATTTCGATATTTTTCATATATATATTTGCAGCGCTGTAATTGGATTTTTCAACAAAATAATGCACATTACACTGTAAGGTTAATTTTCGAAAATTCCGAACCAAATTACTATTAAACATAAAGAACATACATATACTTCTTGCAGACATTTCAGTGCTTTTTTTTTACTGTTGCTTTCACACTTATAAGCGAGTATTTTTTTGGTTATGCATATACAGCTATTTCAGTGGGTGTTTAATACTTACATATATCAATCATTTTTTTTTTTTTTTGTTGCTAATGTAATGGTGATTTCTCTTGCGCATCACTCAAATAGACTCAATACCAGCGATACCCACTAAGACTCCCGAACACACGGTACCACGCATTATAGCAAAACCAGAGTTGCTGTGGAAATTAAATATGTAAAGGTTGAAACTTTTTTTCTTGAGATAAATTTGAAAAATAATCGGGTTTCAGTGCTTTTAACTTGTGTTTCTAAAAATTTAACATATAATATAAATAATGAAATGTAGGCATAAACCGCATACCGCAGTTCGTATACGCAATGGTTTATATCAAAGATGCTCAACTAACGAAACTATGCCATTTATTTAATGTTAATTTTCAAATGGCTACTTGCTAAGATATTAACAGCACAGTTCCATGTTAACGTTAACATTATCTGTTAACGATTCAACATTAACGACAGCTTTTCGTTTCGAGTAAAACGTCTGTTTGAAGCAGCAAGGCGCAAATGCGAAAATAAATTGCCCAGACCTGTATGTAAGGAAATTGTTACTGAAGAAATTTGATGTAAATAATTGCCACAATGACAAAAAATTTATAATAATCTGGCTTTACAAATAAAAGTGTTTAAAAGTATACTCACATTATAGATCGCCGAAAAAAGTATTGCTCTTACTTGAAACGTTCCAATAATTTAATTGTAATTATATCCACATAAAAGGCAGTTGTGTATATATGTATATATCCAAAACTTTTTAATACAAAAAATACGATTTATGTAATAATTTATCAAAAATCTTCAAACCCTTTGACATTATTTACAACAGAAAGAAAATTTGCTATTGCAGCAAAGGCAAGTGGAAGTTAATTTTGCAAAGAAATTGTCAGATGAATAATTACAGTCACACACTGCTGTTTGTTTTCAGCAACAAATTTCCGAAAAAAGGAAAACTAGTTGCTGAAATTACTTTCCAATGATCACACGGATGAATTTAAATTTATTTGGCACCAAAATGCATACCAGACAACTTACTGTATCATGTGGCTCTTATAATTATTATTTTTTTATTTATTTATTTATATTGTGGATGCCTGCACTTCATAGGGGAATTGACATTTCAATTTCGATACAAGTTTTTCATCATGAAGCAATGAGCCACAGCTTTCACCGCTTCTCAAATTATTTGGTATCCAAATTGCAAAGAATCAAATGGTTTAGA